CTAACGCTCACGTCATAGCTAAAATCCCCCCGAGGCTCTTTGTCTTATTCTTGATCCTCTTCTCTTTATCTTTTCTATCTTTTTTTTTTTTTTAACCTTGTGCAATCCTTTTCTTACTTCCCCCTTTCGCTCCTCTTCTTCTACCATTCAATCACCTCTTCTATCTGTACCTGGCCCTCCAATCCTCGGCTTGTAAGGAGTCTTCTCATTCCCGCCTACTATTTCCGTCGCTTTCTACCTCTCTTCAACTCTTTCCTTAACAGATTGGTTTTCCTTTCGTTCATTCGCCTCTCCGGCTTCAGCGTGACCACGAGGCTATGCTAGCTTTGCAAATCACCCGACGGAAACTGGAACTTTTCTGATTTGGTTGTAACCGTCGTGTGCTGTGACCAGACCTTTGACTGTTTTTTTATTTTTATTTCTATTTTTTTTCCTTTTCCTCCCCCTCATCATCCTGGTCGTCTTACACATTTACAAACCACACACGCAAAGACAGAGATACGTACATACAGATACACATACATACGGGCTGCATACATACTTACATTTTACGGATACATCCTCGCTCATACGTATGACCGGGCACACACACCCCGTCACCAAGACCCCTGTCCTGTCTTTCCTTGACAACTTGACCAAACAACAGCTCTGGGCGTGACTTGCGACTCACATCATCCTGCATTCGCCTCTTATTCTCAGCCCTTCCCCCCCGTCCTTTTTCCCGTTCTCTTAAGCAGCCTCGTCTCGTCCTCGCCTACAAATGTCCGCCAACCCCCACGAATTCGGCGACCCTAATCGACAGGGACAGTATCCACCGCCTCCCCAGTGGAACTCTAGTCAGCCTGAGGATAATCCAGCTCCAGCTCACTATCCGCCGGCATCTCAATACCCTGTGAGTTTTATATATTTCGGCCTACCCTTCCCATCGCTTTCGTTGCTCTCCTTAGCTAGATTCTTGGCCAGACGTTTTGTCACTCAGAGCTTTGCCGTTTCTCGTTCCTGTCCACATATACTCCATTGAGCAATTGAGCTTGACAAAAGCGCTTTCTTCATTTTGAAGCTGACCGCTCTAGTATCCTCCGGCCTCCTATCCTCCTCCTCTAACCGCAGACCACCAGTATCCGCATCCACCACCACCCCCTCCATCGCAGTATCCGCCTACCTCCCACATGGCCACCATCCACCCTCATGTGCAAGGTGCTCAGGACCCTTACAGGCTCCCTCCTCCTCCTGGTGCCTACCGTCCCCCGGATGTTTACGCTCAGCCGGCTCCTCCACCGCAGCCTCAAGTTGTATACCAAGCCGCAGCTCCTAGACAGAGGACCGCTATTGCCTGTCGTTACTGTCGCAGACGCAAGGTGCGTTGATCGCCAGAGGATTATATGCTGGCTCATTCGGTTACCACTTGACGAAGCTTTGCTGACAATCATTTTCTGATTCCGACAGATTCGATGCTCGGGATTTGAAAGTTCTCAGGATGGACGCTGCAGCAACTGTATCCGTTTCAACCAAGAGTGCATGTTCACTCCGGTTTCGTCCCAGGCGCAAGCATTTGTCCCGGCACATGCTGCCTATCCTCATCTGAGAAACCCCCAAAATCAAGGCCGCGGTGGTCCTCCAGTGATGCTCTATGGAGCACACGGCCAGCCTTTGCCGCCCCAGCAGCAACCTCAGCCCCCTGCCGATACTACCCTTCCGCCGCCTCAAGGAATGTACCAACATCCATACGGAACCGCACCGCCGCCCCTTGCATCCGCTGTGCCCGCAGATCACGTAAGTCGAAAGTAGTACCCATATTCATTGGAAGCTTGAAGACTCACGATGCCAATCATATCTTACAGAGAGCTGCCGGCCGCCGAGGCTCTGGCTCCGGTTTCGAGTACCCTGACCCGACCAACCTGGCGCCGGTAACCCCAGCGACATCAGCACCTGCCTATCAGGCGCACGCCGCTCCCAGTCCTTACTACCCCCCTCCTCCGCAGCATGATCGGCGTCCCTCGCCGCAATCTGCCTACCCGTACGATAGCCGTCACTCCTCTTCCCCGCACAGCTCTCCGTATCCTCCTCTGCACACCGCTCAAAGTGCGATGACACCTCCACCAACCTCAACTCCTGGAGGTTCGGTCAGTTCGTCTCGAGGTGGTCTCAATGTTCGTGATATGTTGAATCCTGGTGACAGCCAGGGTCGTTCCAGCACCGATAGCGATATGCTAAATGCGCTGAACCGCCGGGGCCTCAACCAGTAAAGCAGTCAACCTGGAACTGAGACATAAAACCTACTGGCGTGTAGGTCTTCAATTCTTGAGGGGTTGGTTGACAAGGTTCGAAGGTTCGCATAGACGGGTTAAATTGATACCACTTTGATGTCTGTTCACGCGGAGGGTTTTGTGCTGGTCACATCGTTTTCACATGATGCGCATAGACGGATCTTTCTTTTGTCGCTTGGGGCTGCGTCGAGCTTCGGTGGATCTAGAAGAGGGGGGTATTGATGCGCCGAACCCGTACGTTCCGAAATTTCTGGAAAAGCTCCATGTCGCGTTATCTCTGGTGATGCTCCCGGGACGACGGATCCTCAAGGAATAACGAATATCTGCGAACATACTGGTTAAGCACTTTGCCAAGGCGAAGAAGGCAAGATGAACTGGGGGCAGAAAAGAGATTTTTACGCGCCATCAGAGCGAGCAAGGGCAAGCATGAGGAAGAGGGGGGTTTCTTAATCGAAGAGGAGTGGGATGAGGATTTTTTGCCACGAACATGCCATGATCAATCGCGACTTGAAACGAGTCCATGGAAACGAGGATCAAGAGTGTTATGAATTGCACGAATTAGACATTGGGATTGCAGGTCATGACTGTCTTCTGCCAGGGGCTCTTCTCTTGACAGTTGCTTCTGTGAAAGTCGGTGATCTCACAGTTTTCGAGTTTTCCAACTTATCAGGCCCGTCTCTCCACGAACACCGCCGCTTTATAAACCATAGGGGCGACCCACTAATGGATATTTCCTTCTGCTTCGTTTTCCACTTGTTTTCTGCCTTGATGCATCTGTCATGTTAATGATCCCTCTTCTCGCTGCTTTCAGTTTTCAGGCGCAGATTCGGTGACTGTGAAAGATTGCATGACCCGACAATTTGTCTCATATTGCTCTGCGCTGGCGTGTCTTCTCATGACTCAGCCTCCTCTGACGCTCCGGTCCTCTTGGGTGTGTCGGTGAAAACGTTCTTTGACGCGTGCTCTATTGACACTGAGTGGTTAGCATTGCGCTGCATCGACCGGTTAATTTCGCATTTTGATATTTTCTTCTCCGTTTCTCACTATGCAGCAACGAGTATTGGCGGCTTTTGTGATTGTCAGTGTTCATTACATTTCGGGTGGCTGTCTGTCTTCTGCGTTCATGTCAAATGTTGTGTCCGTTAAGTTCTTGCGTTCTGTTTCTTGGAGGTACTCGAGTGTTTTATGCAAAAACGGCGGTGGGCTTTTTGAGCTATTTTCTTTTCGTTCTATCTGCTTCATCATATCTGGGTGGCTGTCTGATCAATTTATATTGCGAATCTGTAACATGTTCAGTGTTTGATATCTTTGCGATTTGGCATTATGCATGGTAGTAACATGCCTGCCAGTCCTTTTCAATGGTCATATCTGTTTTTGGAGCTTGCTCTCGCCATTGACTGACTGCTCTAGCTTAGAGCCTTTGCTGACTGGGCCGAGCAATCGTGCCGTAGGGGTACCTATTCCATAGTCAAACTTGGTATCCCGGTAAGGGAAGATCCACACGCCACAGAACCATTTACCCCTAGCCGACAAATATCGCGAAGCCTCGCATAGGCTCATAGCATAAACAATAGAACCACCTCCCGGCCGCATGACAATGCCCTACCCTAAAGGCGATTCCTGTGTACCGGAGTTCATCCGATGCTGTTTGCTCGAGTCGCATGGATATTCAGTAGATGCTTCATGCAATGTGACATCAACCCAGTGCCTATATGGACCTCAAGTAGGAGGTTCCCAGCACATACGACCATAGGGTGTGGAGAACAGGGCTTCCCGTCCGCTCAGCCGTACTTAAGCCACACGCCGGCCGGTTAGTAGTTGGGTGGGTGACCACCAGCGAATCCCGGCTGTTGTATGTATTTTTGTCTTTTTATTTTAGCAGTCCCGGCAGTTCTTGCCCATCAGAGGGATGATTGCTTCTGTTGACAGAGCCATAAAAGTGAGCGGAAACCCCAGTAGTATCTTGATCGAGCTGCAGGCAGTGGACTTCCTTTTCAGCCATAATATGCTCCTTCGTGGAGAACCACGCCGGTAGCTTCAGCTTCCGGGACATTTCAGTGTCTAGGTAGCCGTACAACGAGAATACTAAGCATGAGGCAAGAAAGGGAGAGAAGTAAAGCAATTCGCAGATGGTCGTGCGGTCATCATTTGGGAGTAGGTATATGGTATAGCTCCAAGGCGCAGTTTGGCTAGAGCGAGCTAGACCTAGGAAAATCATGGTGGGTCTGGACTATTTATGTGCGATGCAGTTCATGTAAAGGCATCATTAGACCTACACTCGACATCAGCTGGTGAGTTCTTGAGCTCTATGTTCTATCCTCTAACGAAAGACCGGCCTGCTTATGACCATTGCCGTGTTGGTACTCCATGAATTGTCTAACGCCTTAACAATGTCCGCTTACCTTTTGGAATCCCTTGTACGCATGTTGATAGTCTACCTCACAACAAATGCTGCCAGAATGATGACTTCGCGGTGTATTCTCCATATCAATCGGAAACAATTGCAATTTCAAGGCGCAGTGTAGCCAGAGAGGCTGGAGGAGCAAACCACCAGGGTCTGTTGCATCTATGATGAGAAGAGCGGGCGCATGCTCTCGTTGCATACAAAGCAGTGATGCCATAAGTGTTTTCTTTTTAAGATCATTTTGAGATTCTTTGATCTAGCTTTAAATAGAGCCAAGTTTGTATTGCTGACGAAGACCCATGACCAACCGCTGACCGTGATCCAATCAGTCACTTGCGACTCTTCTTCTTCTGCCTGCCAGATTTAATTGATTGACTTCTAAGTGGACGTTTATTCTCCTTGCCTACTTCAGACGTCGCACTTGGTACAGGTGACCCGTCGTCGACGCTGCTAGACTGCACCGACATTGAAGTTGACATGTCTTTGGCTATGACAAATTCCCCACCTGCCGCAGCTGCTGTCTCCTGGGCGGTCCGAGTCTCGTGGCTTGCCTTGTCAGACGCCTCAGCGGCTGATGTGAGGCCGACCGGGTCGCCGAGAAGCCAACTTTCGAAGAGCTCAAACGGAGCCTCGCTGTTCATTTTGAAGCTGTACATACGGCTGACTCCTAGTATGAGTTTTCTGCCCTCTAGATACGCCTCCATGATCCTCCCGTGCTGTGGAGTCATGAAGGATAGAAGTAGGACCTTCTCCAAGTTAGTCTTATGCGTAATTCAATCAAAGAGGAGATGTGGCAAGCCACTGACCGGGATCTTCTTGTACTCGCTGAATTCAGGCTGAGAGTACCGCACTTGCATCGCCAGAAGGATATAAGCCAAGTCATGGGTTCGGATGCCTTCGCCAGCTTCTTCCTCGCTGTAATGTTCCACAACCATCGTCACATGCGGTAATCGCTGGTCATCGACCTCGAAGAGTGCGGACAGTGGATGTGTTGACCGGCGGCCTAATGGTTTATAGCCCAAGTAGATCTCGGAAAGAGTGGGACTGTCGTCTATGCTATGTAGTAGACAGGTCCATGTAAGATTCTGCATTCAAAGCGTATGAGCCTTTCACTTACTTGACGTAGCTCCATTCTCTAGCTCGTATCAATACTCCTTCCCCTTTTGGCATGTCGAGTCGTACAGCATGCCAGATGTGATGGTTCAAGATCATCTCGATTTGCTGCACACGGGCCTGAGGCTCAGCCGCTAAACGCTCGTCTAGGGTTGCATCAGGACCAGTTTTGGAAGCCACTTCAGCATCATACTCATCAAGCAACAGTAGGTGTGGAGTCTTCTGCTTGACGAACTGACTGTAATCAGGCCTGATAGGATGCTGGGTAAACCAATCTTTGGGTATGGCCTGAAAATAGCGAGGACGTTGGGCGGAGATCGGGGGGTCTTCCAGCTTCGATAGGAACTATCTCGACACCTATCTGCTGACACTGCGAAACGCTCATAATCTCTTCTTTGCGTTTGGAAAGTCGGTCGAGGATCGCGCCACCGTGCGTTTTCTAGTATCTGAAGTGGGGGGCATTGTACTCTATACGTAGCTTGAGTGACAAGACTTAAAATTTGACAAAATCTTGGCAGGAGGAAAGTGCAGATGAAGAGGATGTGTATGTTAGACAAAGATGGAGCAGATGATCGCATGAAGTACGTATTGTCTTGTCATAGTTAACTATTCCCGTTGGATGGCTGCTTCAAAGCCCCAAGGCCCCAAGGCCCCAAGGCCCCACTCCTGGCCGAGGCAGCCCGAGCCGGTAACGGCCCGTAGCTAAGGCATACCTGCCTCAGGTGTTTGCACGTAGTTAGCTGTAACTATAGGGCTCAGGGCAAGGGCTGGTGGATGATGGATCTTTCATATCACTTCGATCCTCTCACCTCCTCCGTTTCCTCTACACATTGATTCTTCTCATGATAGGACTTAAGTAAGAATTGATTACAGTCATCTTTCCTATCTAATTTGCTGATCATCCCAATAACACTGGTGAAGGCGATGTCTACATAGAATGTAGATGCTATTCCAGTGCAGATGTTTGAGGTACTGGCCACCTCTTTATGTAATGAAAGTCCTCTTCTTACCTGTCTCGTATACATATGTTCGAGCAGTGTAGAGTCTTCCACTTACATCCTAGTCTTTAGCTATTTAGTGCAGCGATGCTACTTCTGAATGCTCCCAGAGGTCACGCCGGGATACTACCAAAGGTGTGTATGTTGACGCAAACTACAGATATAGTACATGACAGATGTGGTGCTCTGTGTCTACAGTAGTTGTTTATTAAATGGAGTAGCTTAATACACTATTACTAAACAGACAGACAGAGTAAATGAGTCTACTAGCAAGACAGAGAATGGTGAGCGTCAGAAAATATCCTGTTCTTGGGAATCGGATGTAGAAAGACTGCCTTAGGGGACTACTGTAACGCCAGCCATATATTTTTTCCCTGCAAGTAGATCACTGTGCTGTGAATCTAGCCTGTACGTTCTAAGTCCCACCAAAGATCGAGCAACACAATCTTTTTCCCTTCTACATCCATACGGACCATACCTTGTTTAGTTTCTCTTCAACACATCGTTCATACAAATCTCCTCTGCTGCTTCTCTGCAGCAAGCATAAGCTTTCAACCATGCCTCCTCGCAAATTCCAAATCCCGGCGAACGAGATGTTCTGGGAGGAAGCCGTCAAAAGGGCTGGCCTCGAGGGAAAGACCATCCATACCCTCGAAAGCATGTCCTCCGGGTCCAAAATCATCCCATCACAGTTCTTGACCTTCAGGGTCTTATGCGTTCCCCATCAGGCCCATATGTTCGATGCAGAGAAGTGGGAGCTCACGGAACATATGGTGAGAGCCCGGAGCCTACTGAATAACCACTTTGTTGATTTCCGAAATTACCTACAAAGCGTCCAGCTGGACATGGGGGGTAACCCAAAAAGGGCCTGGGGATCAATTGCCGCTTGGGATCTTTGAGATCCCTCGCAACCACCAGCGCCATGTCATGGAAGCTAAGAGGCTCACGAGCCAGAAAGCCAGACTTGTTGACCCGGACCATGTCGATGCGTGGAGCATCATACCAACCACAGACGAGGAAATCGTCAATTTTGCAATTGTTGACTGGCTCCAGGCAGTCTGTCTGAGGATGCCTGGGGTCCATGGACAATGGATAGCTAGCCGTTACCGATTCAGGGCGCGGTTTGGGCCCAACGAGCTGGAGGCTCGCACAGATGGAGCTCTGCGGATCTTCGAAGAGCCAGAGAGAGTCCATGCGCTAATTGAGTGCAAGGCTATAGCTCGCAAGGACGCTCTGCCAGCGGTGCAGTTTCAAGAGGCTGCACAGATTGTTGCTTGGCTGATGCAGAGGCATCGCCCAGAGACTGCCAAGGCCGGAGGGTGAGTTTTCATCATTCATCATCTTGCGAGAACATCACACTGACATGCAGTCATGCTCTAGCATTTTCATGGTGTCAGAGGACCGTGAGGAGGTCTTCCTCACCTTTGGCACCCTCGACCGCCACTACCTTCGATATCTGCAAAATAAGGACGCACCAAAGAAGTTCCTGGAGCTCCATACGTATGGTCCATTCAGAATAGACAGCGCCGGACATATGGAGCAGCTGGCAAGCATTGTGCTTGCATACGTTCTCCGGGTTGGCACTGGGAGGTAGAACAGTCTCTTACTAGCTAATTCAACCTCACTTTCGAGGCTATCACGGACAATTATGCCTCTGGCTTAGAATTCACTGATAGTGACAGATGTGCCTCAGCTCACCGTGAGCTCCCACCTGACGGCACTAAAACGATGTGGTTACGGACAGGGCATATTTGAATATGCAAACTTTCGGGCCTTGGGAGACAGATAAGGGCGAGGACATGAGGAGCTTTGCTATCTTGATGGTGGCATTTCTCCTTATAGCAAATCATGAGTATCTGATTCTGCACAAGTGACAGCGCAGTGATGGCTTTGCCAGGGGCCGAAGCTGATGGAATTCCTATATTTCGCTCCAGATTTTCTTCCATGGTATTGGATATTTTCCAACATTTCTGTTCATTTGCTGACTTAATTGGGCAACAGCCTCTTTAGCAGATGGGAAGATAGAAGAGTCCCCCTGCCGTTCAGGGTGCATTTCTTATTTGATCCGGAAGGATTTAGTATGCTTCTGTCAAGGAGCTGGTACTCATAAGTGACTTTGTGTAAAGCAATCACTCAAGCCTCAGCTCCCTTTTGACGGCACTGAATCGATGTGCCCTCCACTAAAAATCCTACTGGATAAGTAGGTGCCTGGTTGTCGTTTTAATGACCTCTGGGTCTCCAGCGTTAAGCTCACACCTCACCGTGGTGCTGGAGTCTAGTAACCAGCTTCTAATCTGGACCGGCGAAGCTAAGATGAGCTTGTTTTGTATATAGTCTTCAGTTTGCGGTACACGAGAGATCCCTTCTGTTATTATGTTTCGGGATATCGAGAAGTCGGATCCCTTAGTAGCGGGTGTGCTCAGGTTATCAGGCCGCCTGCTGCATGGTGAAGGATGATAATGGTGCGCTTCTCAATTCCATGAGACTCTACGAATCGATTGATTGGGTGGCTGAGTTCCCGGAATGTGAGCAGGAAGCAAATGCAAGAGAGATCAAAAGTACAGGTAGTAGATTAAAGCTGCAATAATGATTACTAATTTCCAAAAGTAGCATGTTTCCCATATCGATCCCATAAACTCCCCCCCCTAATCATACCCCTTTTTCCTCTCTATTACAACCTTCATTACATTCAAACCCCGTACCATAACATGGCCCAACCAGCAGACTCTGGAGACGAAAATCCTGCCCTTAGTCATTTCTTTCATGACCCCTCTTGGCCAACACCTTGGTCACACCCTGGATTAACTGATAGTGACACGGAGCGTTACAAGCGCTGGTGTCAGCAGCCCTGGTATAAAGATGAGCAACGCTCTGCTGTGCGGCTAATTAGTTGCGCTGACGGCGAAGACTGGCCCTGAGGCTACTTCATCTACCGCACAGTCTACACCCCCGAGTCTGATCAGGTCTAGTCTGCCTGTCTGGAGAAAATTGACCGCTATATCCACTGGGAAATTGACCGCGTTGATGGTGACCGGTATGCAGAGGCTGAAGACCACGGCTTTCCTGCGAGGCTTGTCCATGAAACATACAGAAACGCTATCCTAGAGGATAAAGAACGCTGGGATGGTGCATCAATTCCAAAGATTCGCGAGGATTTAAAGGACCTTGTTGCGTCTCGGGGTGCTGAGATAGGGGAGGTCGTGCCGCGGTATACAGTGTGTCTGGTCATTGATCAACAGTGCCGGGATTCGATCGTGAATGCGTTCGAGGATCCAGAGGAGAGCAAGCACGGGGGTGGGCCAGGGAAGGGATTTGTTCTTATGATTGATCCTATGTTTGTACCAGGGAACCGTGAAGGGTATTGTAAGGTTTATGCGAGTTGAGATCGACACGCTTTTTTGGCTGACGGTAGAGTTAAACTCATCATTTCTGATGAGTGATAGGTGTCCAAGGGTGCAACCGGGCAAGATACCAGTTTACAATAGCGATCTTGGTTATGCGGTTGATGATCCACCATGGCCTGGACCTAGGCCAGTAACGCCCATCACTCACCGGTCAGTATGTAAAGGGGACTGTCGTGAGCATTTAGGGATGCAGGGATGAACAGCAGGCAATTCTCGAACCGGTCCTGAATAGGGTATATTGATGGCATAGCTAACAGACGAATGAGAATGAATGTGAGATGATCAAGTAGCAAAGGAGTCTAATAGTGAATGATTGTGCTGTATTTCCTGGAGTAACATGACAATATGAAGCTAAATGACACTTTGACAGCCAAACACAAGAAACCGGACGTGATTGCAGAAGGCCTACAGTAATGATCTGGTCACGCAGATTGAGAAAAGATCAAAGAGTGGCAGGAACCAAGGAAAAGCCGCTCAACATACAGAGATGGACTCAGAGGATGTATAATGCGAGGAATCAAACCGCTATGCGCCGTAGGAACGGAAATGACAGCGAGATATGCTAGATCAACCATTCGGGAAAGCGTCAAGGATTCGTGCCATCTTCTTGGCACGATCTGGATCCTCGACGAGTAAGCCTCGCTGCTTCAACACCATCTCCAGAGTGTCGACGACTTTGTGGAAGGATGATGCTGCGCCTCTTTCTTGCTTAAAGCGCACAAGACTGAGATTCGCCTGTCGGCCGTGCTCGAGGACAGTGTAGAATTCGGCGGAGAACTCAACAGCTCGAAGTCGCAGACCTTGAGGATGTTAGAACACTCAGAAGAATCGTCGAGGCTCTCACTTACAGTTCACTTCGCCCACTCTGCCACGAATAACACCGCTGGCTTTGTCCAAGTGCGCCTCTTCCATACCAAACTGTTTCCATTCCCGCAATAGCTTCAAAACGTCCTTCCTACCTTTGATCTTCGAGGTGTTTAGAGCTACCACTCTGGTGGCTGGCTTGATCTGGAAGACACGCGCGAACCAGTTCTGACTCCTTCCGTTTGTGTTTGACACAGGGGGTGCAGGCTTCGGGTTCTTCTCGGTATCAAACGAATGATCGGTTTCCACTGGTCGCCTGAGCAGCGGGTTGGTGTCTGCAAAGTCGATTTCTGTAGATAATAGTCAGCTGAAGAGATCGTTGAGCACCATGGATAGAAACGCCTACCTGTTGCAGCATTATCGAAGTTGTTGTTGTGCCTTTTCTTCATGAATTTCTTGAAGAAGCCACCCTTCTTGTTGTCGGAAGGAGCCTTCATATCCTTGGGCTTTCCAGTCTGCTCACCCAGTGCAGGGTCAACTGAAGGATTGATTTCATGCACAATTACTGTCTCAGAGCTCGGTTGTATGGGTTTGGTAACAGGCATCTTCGTTTTAGTCTCAGTAGACCCCTGCGATCTGTTCCGAAACCAAGACCATTTCTTGTTTTCAGACGCTTTTGTGTCGGACCCCCTGGGCAACTTGGGCACTTCTTGAATTGGGTCCAATTCTGAGAGAAAACGAGTCTGACGGGAGTCGGCAGACGCATAGCGGGTCGAAGAGCGAATCGGTCTGCTGCTTTCATCCTTGGATTTGCTTTCCTCTCGGAGTTGGTGAGTCTCGTTCGAGAGATGTCTGTTCTTCCGGATGTTCAATGGCTTAACCTCCTCCAAGCACAGTTGAGAACTATGAGGAACCATCCGGATTGTGGCTTTCCCATCATGGCTTTGACGTTTCGTGCGAATAGAACTGGCGGAATCTGAATTGTGCCTTGCTAAATGTTGGCGATTCCTCATCTCATTCTCGCTCACCAAAGAGTTGCTGAGTTCTTCTGAAATTATCGGAAGATTACCGGTCTCGTGTGGAGACCTCTGAAGAGGGTCGAAGGTAGAGTTGCCGTTGTCGTTGATCTTGTCTCGCTTCCCGCGCTCCCTTGTTCTGTCCTGCGCAATGAGACGATCAAGGTGATTAATCACAGCGGACAGATAGCCTGGGACGTTCTCATTGCCGTCCTGGGTTGAGTGCTGTATCAGTTTGCGACGAGTCTCGGCCAGCTCTGTTGCAGTATACGACTTGGGTGACTCTGCTGATATGTTTGACGGCTGGTTCGACTTGATGTTGCTTGCTGTAATTTGATTTTGCGAGTCTCCAGCACTGACCATGGAGAGAGAAGTGGCTGGTGTCTCTGATCCAATGCTAGCTGTACACCCTGTTGATAAGGACCCGCCATTGAAAGCTTCTTCGCATATCTGGCTGAGTTCATGAGAGACCTTGCGCGCCTCGTCCTTCCAGATAATGTCAGCGTCGCAAACTCTCTTGACCTGGGGGCACTTTTTAATAGTAACCCCAGCTCCTCTGACTACCATAGGTGGTACCGGCAGCAAAGGGCTGCCACATCCGTCTGAGACGGGGACCTCGTCCGCGTCAGACTTTATGCTGCAATCGCTTCCTTGTCTGCTAATGCTTGAGGCATTTGCTCGTGTCTTCTTTGGTCTTACAGACATTGATCCTTGTGAGCGATTCCGGTGGTGAAGAAATAGAACGTTGCGCTTATAGCTTGCAGAGCGGGGTGTAGGTGTCGTATGCAAAACCCGGCGAGAAGATGAGTGCGAAGCCCTGGACTGAAAAGACCTTGTGAAGCTGGCCTTGGACTTCTTGTTGGGCACTATGGAAAAAGGGGAGCTTGGGAGACACTCTATGTCCTCAACTGCTTCTTCTTTCATAGCATCTTCTGATTCCGGAACAGTTTCCGAAACGTCTTTGGTATTTGCTTCAGAACCCTTGCGATGAACGGTAACCTGAGCGTACTGTACTTCGGGAGTGGAGACTATATGGCGTGGAGACCTGAAAGGGTCATAACTCTCCTCGGTTGCTGAGGATTTGAGCGCCCTGGGTGTACTTTGAGGTTGCTTGCTGCTGCTTATTGTTGAAATTTGACCTTGTCTCCGAGAACCACCTGGCAACCGGGCATGCTTGCGCCGATTTGCGACGGAAGCTGGTAATCGAGAGATGTGGTGATAATCACTGGCTGAATACTCAAGAGGCTGTCCCTGGTAATTCTCTAGCTGCTCGTTTCTGAACTTGATTAGAGCATTGTAAAACATTCGTTCCTGGGTGGGCCTGTGGCAAGGTGCTTGGTCAGCTCTTCGTGCCGTAGCTCTCGAGCAGAAATGAGATACTCACTGAGGATTTAGAACTCGCTCTATCAGGGCCTCTGTTTTGACGCCATGCCACAATGTCTGCAGATTTCTCAAAATATCAATATCGATTTCCTGTCTGCTGAGTACTGGTGGCCCGCAATCCTCTGCCGTCAATGGTGGTGCAGGGCCGAGGTAGTGATGTGACATTGCCTGATGAAATTCTTCGTACTTCTTTAGAAGTGGGTGCATCCATATTCCATGCATCGTTATGCGGTCTTCTGGTCTCTTTTGCAGGATGCGCTGAATGAGGTCGGCCGCTTCGACACTCAACTCGGGGGGAATGGTGTATTCGCCTCGCTTCACCTGTCGCAAAGTACTTGGAAGATCCCCACCGTCGAATGGCAAGTAGCCCGTTAGCAGTGCATACAGAATAATGCCGCAACTCCAGATGTCTGCCTTGTCTCCCCGATACTTTCGACCATAGATGATCTCCGGCGCAGCATAATGCGGGCTTCCGCAGGAGGTATTCAACCAATGTCCAGCAGGCTGAAGCGCAGCCATACCGAAGTCAGCAAGCTTGACGTTGCGCCAGGAGTCCAGCAGTATATTCTCCGGCTTCAGATCCCGATGACAGATGTTGAACCTGTGGCAGTATCCAAGGCCTGCAATTATCTGTCGAAACAAGCGAACTGCCTCCTCCTCTGGTAACGGTCCGTGATTTTGTACATAATGGAATAGCTCGCCGCCTTGGACATACTCTAGAACCAGATATCTAGAGACGAACGGTCAGTCTCTAGTAGTAGACACTTGATCTTGGACTTACAGTTCTCCCCGGTTCTCCCACACATCGTACAGGCTGATCACGTTTGGATGCTCGATGAGTTTCATGATGACCACCTCCCGCTCGATTCCGGACGGCATTTGTCTGGTCCCCGTACCACTAAAGAGGCTTGCATTGCGGTCCATTGCTGCAATGCTCTCGCTCTGGGCAATTGCGGCAGACCTCTTGGATACAATTTTGATGGCTGCGGTCTGTCCGGTCACTGCATGTTTGGCCAATCTCACACGGCCCGTGGCCCCTTCTCCGAGTGTCTTCCCCAATTGCCATGGCCCAACGTGTGTTTTCCTTTTCCCCTTCCCAGAAACATTAGAAGTCGTAGAGATTGCTGAGTTTCTTTTCGAACCGGCTTGAGAGTTTGGGTTTGGAGAGAGGCGGTTTATCTCCACATTTTCTCTGGTTGCCAATGGGCTTGTGACGATAGACATTCGGTCTGGTGTGCTTAGCAGATCTTCTACTTCGATATGTCGTGCTCCTTTTTCAATCTTTGGAGTAGCGCAGTTGTTGAGTCTATGTGTAGCATCTGTCAGAGGGGGGCGGAATGACTGAGGACTGGCGGTAACCCCATCCATCGCCAGGCAAGCCCGGGCTAATGAAGCGAGACAGGCGTGTTGCAATGCCACATGTGGAGATGGTTCTGCTTTAATGCTCTGAGGTAGTCTGCTTGGGGCTGCTTTCGGCGACTTGTTAGCGAATGTTGCTTGCGATATCACTACCATGAGTATGATAGACTAACATTCAATCGGACGTGTTGCCTGGGAGAGAGTTTGCTGCTCGTTAGGACAGCTGCCTTCTGAGAGATGTAAAGACGACGTTGTAGCGACAGATACAAGAATTGGATTGCTCTGGAGGGGACGACTGTGAATAGTAATGCTGGAGTGTCAGTGCCTTCTTCTTTCCTGTACTGGTCGCGCTGAATCTCCCGTGTGCTGAGGCTCAAAATGAGATGATGAGGCGCAAAGGAAGAAACTAAGCGAGAG